CTGGGAAAAACTATCCAAACAAAACCTGCGGAAAATGGAACAAGTGAAGGCAAGATACCTTAAACTAGCGCTAGGGCTTCCTAAGAACACACAATCCAGACTAACATACGAACTCTGCAAGGAAAATTTCCTAATAGAAGAACTTAGATATCAACTGCCAAGCACAAAAAACTCAGAGGAAGTTATCAAAGAAAGAAAACAAAAAAGAGAGGAAATATGGGAAGAGTTCTACAGCACTGATGCAATGACTGACAGAACCTGGACAGGACCCAACAGAAAATTACGACACACAATTACTAGGTTGGCAACACACGGATTCCACCACAAGATATGCAAGAACGAACGTTTCCACGAAGCAAATGACGCGTGTGTGTGTAAACACTGTGATAAAAAGTGCAGTAGATACCACATTACCATATGCAAAAACTTAACCACATCAATAACCGAATACAGTCGCGAATAGAAAACAATTACTTTATGCACATTGTGCGCTTTCCCTTATTATATAATTAGAATGACCAAGTCAAGGAGAATGAGGTGGACAAGGCATGTAGCACGAATGGGAGAGACGAGGAATGCATATTGGATATTGGTGGGAAAACCAGAAGGAAAGAGACCACTGGGAAGACCAAGGCGTAGGTAGATGAACAATATTAAAATGGATCTTAGAGAGATAGGGTGGGATGGTATGGATTGGATTGATCTGGCTCAGGATAGGGGCCAGTGGAGGGCTCTTGTAAACACGGTAATGAACCTTTGGGTTCCATAAAATGCTGGGAAATTCTTGAGTAGCTGCAGAAATGGCGGCTTCTCCAGAAAGGCTCAGCTCCATGAGTAAGTAAGTAAATAAATGGAGCGGCAGCAGCACGATCTGGGAACACAGTTTACGGGTGACAGTTTTCGTACTTGCTTCTTGGGTTGTTATAAATGTTTTGCTTCATAATTGGCCTCGCTATTCGAAATTTTAGGGCCACATGTAGAGGAGTTCACCTGTATGTACGTGTACCTAAGGTAACAAAACGCAATGGATTCCCGAAACTATGGTGAGGAGAGGACCTCTGAGGCAGGAACACCTCTACCCACACAACATGCAAATTTTTCATTAAAGCAGCTAGAACAAAGTTACCAAAGGGAAGCGGTGCACCGTCTTGTTGGAAAACTTTAAACTTCCTTTTCTACAAATTATGGGAAAA